AGGCGGGCGGAGCCCTCCACGCCCAGAGGGGCCCCCGGTGGCCCCGCGGGCCCCAGATGTTCCAGGTGTTCGGCCCCCGGTGGCCCCGCGGGCCCCAGATGTTCGTGCCCGCCCCGCTGAGGAGGAAGTACCCCGCCATCGACTGCCTGGAGGGGCTCACCTGGAGCCTCTTCTTCCAGGAGGGCGAGCGGAGGAGGGCCCCCGACTACGTCCCCGAGAACAGCCTCCACCGGCCGGTGTGGCTCCAGGAGGACCCGGAGAACCCGGAGAACCCGGAGAACCCGGAGAACCCGGGGGTTGAAGCCTCCATGAAGCACATCAGGACCATCCAGGATCTCCTGGTGGAGATCCGGCACCACGCCAGGGAGGAGGCGGACTCCGACCAGCTCTACGTCCTCAACGAGTGCATCTACAGAGTCCAGAGGGAGAACCTGAGCGTGACCCTGGTGGGCAGGTAGGGGTTTTACAAAAGCATCGATACAGTGGGGGAAATAAGTATTTGACCCCTTGCTGATTTTGCAGGTTTGCCCACTTTACAAAGAATGCAACAATCTATAACTTTAATCATATGTACATTCTAACAGTGGAAGACAGAATCCCAAAGAAAATTCCAGAAAATCACATCGTATGAATTTATAAAGATTGATAACCATCTGATGAGGAAAAATAAGCATTCTTTGTAAGTGGGCAAACCTGCAAAATCAGCAAGGGGTCAAATACTTATTTCCCCCCACTGTATGTCAGCCCGATTCTTTAGTTGGAAACGTGAAAATAAACCAGAGTAAACCAAAAGTACAAAGATAACATTTATTAGGACATAGTTAATTATATCAGCTGGGCTCTAACAGACAAAAACCTCTCAGGCAAAGAGCCCTGAGATCAGGGTGTGAAGCCAAAGAAAAGATGAAAAAGACATAGAACTGCAGATTTGAAGAAGAATGGAGGAAGCAGAAGAGTTGATGAAAAAAGGCTGAAGGAAGGAATAATTTGAACCAGAGAATTCTGGATCTGCAGTCAAAAGCTCTACCACCGAGCTATAGCACAGGCTGAAAGGCTGCAGATGAATTCATAGGAAGAATTTGAAGGCGCTGAAATGCCAGTGACCAGCAGAGGGAGCCATATTTTTTGCTCCATTAATTTCAATTAGAGGAATAAGGCATAGAAAAAATTGAAAAGATTTGAACACCAAAAGTTGTAGCTGCATTGTCCTGAGAAAGCTGAACATTTTGATACCTTGTTTGTTGAAATAGGCTGAAAGGTGTAGGAGTAGTTAGACCCGGAAAAATGTACGGAATAAAGAATAATAAAGAGAAACAGGAAAACAACAGTGAGAATGCCTGTAGGCATTTTCACTGTTGTTATCCTCTTTCACTTTTTGGTGTTCAAATCTTTTAAACTTCTTAAGTCATTTAACTTTTTCTACTTTTATTCAAAAGCATGGCTCCATCTGCTGGTCACCGGCATTTCACCCCTTTAAGTTCTTTACATGTAGTCCTATGCTACCTTTCAGTGGTATGGTGTTTAACTGCCAATCCAGAGGTTGCTGGTTCAAATCCCACTCAAATCTTCTTGTACCTGGTGATTTTTAGCTTTTCAAATGATTCCTCCATTCAGCCTTTTTTCTTCAGAAACAGCCTACAGGTATTCTCTCTATTGTTTTCCTGTTTTACTTTTTCTGCGTCTAACTACACCCACAGTTTTCAGCCTATTTCAACAAATAAAGTACCAATTGTCTCGTGGTATATCTCAGTGGTAGAGCAGTTAACTGCCCATCCAGAGGTTGCTGGTTCAAATCCTACTCAAATTTTCTCGTACTTTGTGCTTTTCCATTCATCTTTTGGCATTCTCACAGCCTTTTCTAGCAAAACTTCCGGTGCTAAGGTCCCTCCGTTCATTATCAATACCGCTTATTCCCTGATGGGGTCACGGGCCGATGCTAAACTGAGTGATGATACGATGCTAACCTGGTGATTTCAAGCTTTTCAAATGATTCCTCCGTTCAGCCTTTTTCCCTTAACTCTTCTGCTTCTTCCATTCATCATGTGGCATTCTCACAGCTTTTTCTAGCAAAACTTCCGATGCTAAGGTCCATCCGTTCATTATCAATACCGCTTATTCCCTGATGGGGTCACGGGCCGATGCTAAACTGAGTGATGATACGATGCTAACCTGGTGATTTCAAGCTTTTCAAATGATTCCTCCGTTCAGCCTTTTTCCCTTAACTCTTCTGCTTCCTCCATTCATCTTGTGGCTTTTTCTCACAGCTTTTTCTAGCAAAACTGGTGCTAAACTGAGTGATGATACGATGCTAACCTGGTGATTTCAAGCTTTTCAAATGATTCCTCCGTTCAGCCTTTTTCCCTTAACTCTTCTGCTTCTTCCATTCATCATGTGGCATTCTCACAGCTTTTTCTAGCATAACGTCCGATGCTAAACTGAGTGATTATATCCCTTTCCGACCAGGTTCATGCTGAACGGCAGCTTGGCGGAGGCGGAGGCCTTCCGGCGTGCGTTCGGCGCCCAGCGGGCGGAGTCCTCCCTCCTGGATCTGCGCGGCGGCCTGAAGGCCTCCGGGTTCCCGGACTTCTGCCGGCAGACCTTCCAGCTCCAGCAGTGCAGCTGGAACTGCGAGCGCTGGGGGCGCTACTTCCTGGCCGCCGTTTTGTCGGCCTCCGCGCGAAACTTCCGCGTGTTTTCCCTCTTCCTCATGAGCGTGATCGGGTGCGAGGTCGGCCGTTTGCGGGGCGCCGAGGGCCCGTTATGCACCGCCTTCGTGGGGGAAAACCACCCCATGGAGACCGGAAGTGAACCGCCCCCCCCACTCCCAACGGCGCCCGGGGGGCGGGGCTTCTACGGCTGCACGCTGGAGGATTACGAGGGGGCGGAGCCAGGCCGGAGAAGATGGCTGGAAAAGCTCCTGCAGAAGGAGAACGCCCTGTACGTCCAGGCCCGGGCGGCCATGGACGCCGAGGGCCACGCCCAGCACACCGAGCTGGACGTGTTCGGCCGGATAAAGGTCATGAACAAGTACGTGTTCTCGTCCTACCTGGAGTTTTTCCGGGGCACGCCGGAGGGGAGGAAGCTGAAGAGAGGCTGCGCCCCCCAGTTCCCCGACCAGGAGGGGGCGCCCTTTGAGGCCTGACTTGTTTCTGTCCGAGTAGAAAGGCTGAAACTTACCTGAAAACCCCAAAAAATTCAACAAAAATGAAACCAAACTCAATGTTTTGCAGGTAAAGAAAGAAAACGTAGCGGCTTAAAGTGTTAAAGAAGGTAAAATTGAATCTCCATCCTGTATTCTCAATATAAAAAGTCAATACGAATATACAGTCCTGTCTAAACATTGTGGGGTTTTTCCGATTAAACTGACAAATGACAAA